ATCCGCACCGACGAACGAAGCTTTAATTAGCATAATGTAGCTTGCAACCTCGTGGTGAGCGCGATAAGTTGTCAGCGATAAGCATACCAAGTACATGTCGTTACGCCGATAACGATCTTAACATATTGTTTTTATGCATATAATCTTAGATTATTCAAAATGCGCTTTATAAGGATGTTAGCGTGCTAACAAGTCATTCTATAGGTCCCTTTTCTATGGCTGAACTAAAGTACTCTTTTGGAACTTAAAGAAGGTATATGTTTGATATTTATCGAAAGCGAAAAAGAGAGTTTTAGAGTACAGTCTAATGCAGGAACAGAAAACAGATTACATAATATACCCAGAGGGCACAAAGTCGTTTAAAAGGTGACTAAAATATGACTAAATTGTTTTTTAAAAAATGATTAAAAAGCTAAAGATATCTTTTAAAGTATGGTCGACAAAAAGATGGCAAAAAACGACAAATGTTGCCTGTCATCTTTATAGCCTTAGTCATATAATAATTAAAAGATGACTTCTATAGTTATCTTTTAATCGTCTTTAAGATTTTTTTTTAGTTTTTATATTTTCGCACACATAACGTTTAATAACATCAGGTCCTCAAATTAAGCTTTACGTAAAACGAAATTATATGACTCAATATGCATCTTATTTATGAATCTTGCAATGCTTATCGTATGCTGTGTGCAAAAGCCATTATCTTTTATCATAATCCTCTTTAGGGACCCTTTTAAAAAATATTTTAGTAATGTTTACTAGAACATGGGTAAAATTTCTCATAATGCTTCACTTTTATTCTATTCTATGACTTTTAAACTGAAACTTCACCACATCCGTTTGGTGGTGATCTTATGTACTGCTCGCGGGTGAGTGATGAAAAGTATCAAAATAACGGAAAAATAAACAGAAACTTTTTCATGTTGTCTTTTTGATGATATAAAAAAAATATCTTTTAGTCGACTTTTCGCTTTGCAAAAAGGCAATCATAGGAAAATGACAAAAAGATGTTTTTTTATAAGTTATTTTTTCGAGAAAACTAAAAGACGTCTTATAGTTATCTTTTCGTCTTATTAAAAAAACAATCTAAAAACAATATCTTTTTGTTATCTTTTTGACATTTTTTTGCTTTGTTGAAAAGATAACTTAAAGATTTTTTTTTTTAGTCTTTAGTATTTTGTATTGTACTTGGATTATACAGAAAATAGGAAGTTACATTTTAAAAGTAACTAGTTATCATTATTCGTTATCGAGTAAAAAATGTAATAAGTTATTGTTATTAATTACTAATTCTCAAAAGTAACTTGCTACTGCTCGTTTCAAACTATAACTTTGTACATACAATAATAATATTTTACAGTAAATTTATACAGGTCTATCAAAACTGAATATCTTTTATAAAAATGATTTTTTGAAAAAACGCAAAAATACATAAATTTTTATTTAGAGAGGGATCTTTCGACATATAATTCTTACCTTCAACTTTAACCCTCTAAGCGGAGGTACCAAGCTTTAAAAAATTTCAAATAGGATACGTCATTAGAAAAGTCTCAAATGATACGTCATTAGAAAAATCTCAAATGATACGTCATTAGAAAAGTCTTTCAATTCCTTACATTCCTACGTTTGATTTTTTAAATTCGATCAATTTGTTTAGAGGATACAAAGTGTTAAATCTAAAATCATGTAAGTTAGCGTAGTAATTGTTCGAAATGTTGACATCCAAAGTATGAATTTCAATCGTGAATTTCAATCGTGAATTTCAATCTATTAAGCTCCAATCTTCGGACCTTTTTCTTTTGCATTTTTAATATTAGCAACTAATAATGAAGCACATACACATAATGAGGCGAATGAACGCCAAATGAACATTTAGCGAAACCGAAAGCTGCATGTTAAGCATAAACAAACAGGGCTCGGTAAAATAACCGATACGATTTATATAAAATAAAAAATAAATATGTTTCAAAAATTTATTTAAAATATAAAATCGTAAGCGTTGGTAAAGTAATAGATACGACGTATTTGAAATAAAGAATATAAAATAGGTTCCAAGAACTTATTTAAAATATTAAATAAAAAATAGGATTCGAAAATACATTAATTTATTTAAAATATAAAATAACTTTTATTTAAAATAGAAAAATAACTTGTATTTTATTTTAAATAAGTTTTCGAAGACAATTTCTTATTTTAAATTACTTACTTAAAATATAAGATAAGAAATATGTATTTTAAACGTTTCAAATAATAAATACAAAATATTTTAATGATTTTTAATAAGTTAAGGCTTATTAAGCCTTGATTTATTGATTATATTGCGTCGCATGTATGCGAATCTATTTTTCTATTTTTAATTTTATTTATTTGAATATATGAATATATACATTTATAAGTATAATGTTTCAGTTTTTTTATGACTATAACTTATAATTAATATTTAATAGTATTTAATAGTGCCCTTTGAAAATCACAAGTGAAAAATTGACGAATCATATATAGGTATATCTTGTACTTTACACATGCTTCATCATAAATACATCATAAATATACTATAATTTAATTGTTCACCGTCACTTTTACTGTGATGGATCAGTAATAACTGATACAATTTATTTAAAATAAAAAATATAAAATAGATTCCAGAAAATTATTTAAAATACAAAATCGATAAAAAACTGATACAACTTATTTAAAATAAAAAAATATAAAATAAATTCCTATTACTTATTTAAAATATTAAATAAGAAATAGGTCAGAAGAAGTTATTTAAAATAATAAATATAACATTTTAATCTTTTCTTTATTTAAAATATATATTTTAAGTAAATTTATTTGAAATAAGACCGATAAACAATGATGTACTCTTTCTCTCTTTTGCTCTCTCTTTCGTTTTCTCTCTCTCTTTCTCTCTCTCTCTCTCTCACACTCTCTTTCTCACCCTCTCTCTCTTTCCTCCATCCTTACTTTTCCCTCATTCTCTCTCTCTCTCTTTCTCTTTTTTTCTCTTTTCCTCAGTGAAGGGACGCATTTTACGGTTTAATTGAATTTTATGAAAGAGCTTTTCACTTTGAGGCCTTCCGGAACATCTACAATTTTTCATAATGTACCGGGATGATAAGCGAAGGAAAATAAAATTTTGCGTACATTGCAAAACGCTGAAAAACAAAAAATTTTACAGATTTAATTTTGCTCTAAAACCAAACGTCGCCAATGTCAACGGTATAGCTTCGATCGTTCCGTACTAAAATTCTCGTTTCTCATGATGCATTGTTACTGTAATAACGCGAACTATAATAAGTAACGAGTTGTGTGTCACGGATATATAATAATAAAGTTGACAAAGTTAATGAATTTTCGATCTCCTTCAAACAAATGATTAATGCTCAATGAACAAAGAAATAATTGTTTTCCAGAAATAACAAAATTTAATAAATCAATTTATAATCTTACTTGCGAAAATTGCAAAATGAAATTTATAAAATTTTTAAACATAAGATAAGATAAATATTGACAAAAATAAAATATTCACTCTGTTAAGTGTAAATTACTATAATTACAAACTTCATAAATTATACCACATTGTATACTGTATAGTTAATGTACATGTATGGCATTAAAATCTTACAAAAAATAATAATTGTATTCTTATTTAATTATTGTTTTCTGATTATAAAATTCCCTAATTATAAAATGAATTAAAATAAAAAAGCGTCAAACACAATTGACGTTAAATATCGATGCCTAAAAATACTCACGTTGCAAATCTGTGAACAGTTTATATTAGAGATATACCGGATATTCGGAAAATATCCAGTATCCGATATTATCCGATACTTTTTTATTATCCGAATAATCAGATATTATTAGTATTCGGTAATATATATCTAACTGAAGATATATTGAAAATTTACGTCATTGATGCAGATTTATTCTATTTTTTTAGCTAAATTTCTTGCACAGTTTATATTTTTGCATAGTTATAGTAGTTTATACCGATAATCGAAATAGATTGTCATCGGAAAATGCTAAAATGTCATTGTGCATCATGAAAAAATTATTAATATTTTTTATAACTAAGCAGTGTTGAAATTGTATTGCAAACAATCCTATTCTACAGCCGGTCAATTATTATCACTATAATAATGATATAATGAAAAGCTACAGCAACATACCGTAATATATCGACCTTTACTTCGCGGGTGGTGCATTCAAGATCAATTTTGACAACTTAAACTCCTGTCATCATTTTACAAAAGTCTATCATTTGTAATTTGATCATTTGTATTTCAATTGTGGTACACAATTTCGTGAGTACAAGTTGTAATTTTATATCAAGCAAATGCTGTTGACAGCTCTAACGTCATATTAGACTAAGAAATTAAAGAAGATTTCAATTTAAACAATTTTTTTTGTTCGTGGCATAAACTCATAGACATGTTATTTATCTAATATTAAACAAGAATAAGATGATTCACGGGAGCACCCAGGTGATGTTTCCAAATGCATACATATGAGTATATTTTAATCCCGGAAAAAGATTTTTGAATCTATAAAAGAAAAAAATATAATTATTATACAAAGATTGTTGTGTTTAATCGGCAAAACAGACGACTTTATGATCCCCTTAATTATCAATATTGCCCTCAATTATTCATACTTTTGTGAATTTTCGCAGCCGATTTTAATAGCTTTTTTTAACGGCTTTGTAACTGCAATCTTGCTTTGCCATTTGCTGTATTTGTATTGCAATAAAAGATAATAATAATAATTTTGTTCGTCAAGAAAATATTAAAAATGTGCTAAAAAGAAAATTTATATATGTTTATTCATTTTCCACAAACGACGTTTAAATTTTATATAATTTTCAACAGTCCAAACTTTTCTACTCTTCTTAATAACGGAAGCAGCTTGCCCGTGGCGGCTTTGTCGTTTAGAATGGCAACAAGTTATGTGATATACAAGGCCTGTGGCTACAATTAAAAAGTTTTCTTTGTTTACAGTTACAGGCTGGACCGAATACGCTGCAGCAGAATGAAGGATTGGCGGATCTTTTGGCAAGATATATGGAAGATCAAAGTAAGTTTAAAAAAATGATATTTATTCATGTTCATTACATTGTACGGAAAGACAATATCAGAGAAAGAAATGGCAAATATTCACTTTTAGAATGTAAATATTAATTATGAAACCGTACTCCAGAAATTATTACAAACAAGTTATAAAAATCAGACGCGATATAGATTATATATAATTATATATATATAAAGATGTAATTTATTATTCTATTTATACCTTATAATTAAATCATTTTTGCGTTGTTTTAAAGTTTTTTAAATTTTATGTAAGACACTAAATTTCTTTGATATCTGTTTTTTATTTTTTTTTTAAATAAAGATAATAGGCAGATAGTATTTATAAGTAAAACTGATAAAATTCGATATAAAATAAGCATATGTCTTTAAACATTTCATTGTTGAATATAATACTGTTTATAATTACATGTGATTGTAATAATAATGGGAATAAATTTGGTGAATAAATAATTGAATAAATTTAAATTTATATCTACTGTCCATTATAATATTGCGCGACGAAGATGTGAATTAAAAGAATATAGACATATTTGCACACATATAGGTTATCCTATTTTATAGATTATTTGTCACTGGAAATTGTTTACAAATATATACAAATACACGATAAATAATGGAGTGGGCAATTCGCTACTTTGATCTTAAGTACATACTGAGGCATACGCATCTAGTTATAGTAGATTATATACTATCGCGAAAGAGAAAACAATGCGTAATCGATACCGCACTATTAAATTTTTAAACATACTCCTTTACCCTTTGATATATTACTTTTATGGTCTATCGGAATTGCACGTTAAGAGTTTAGTCCGATATGCACATATATATTGCAGCTACGATACTTAATTACTTGTAAAAGTATCAATCTATCGTATTAACGTAGCGTCTAAGTTTAAAATTGTTTGATTATTTATGTCACAAGATAAAAATTATTTCGCACAAATTATGCTATAGTAATTAATGCCAAGAAAAAAATTAAGTAAATACGTTTTTATAGAAAAAAAAGTATGTTAAAAGAGATAAAACTTTTCCAAAACGAAAAAGAAGTTTGCTCTTGTTAAATATCGGTTGTATTGTATTTAATTATAGATAAAATACAATCTAAATATTACTTGATTATTGCTTATTTGTAAATCTAGTACAATATTTCTAGAGAATGAAAAAGAAATTAATCCGTCTCTCTCTCTCTCTCTCTCTCTCTTTCTCTTTCTCTCTCCGTGAAAGAAATTAACTCGACAAAAAAAAAATATGAAGTTAAATTAAGTGTATATGTATGTCACAGTCAAAGTGTTAACTTTAGTAAATGTATACACTTACTAGTCAATGTATACATTTACGTATTATAAATGTACACATTGACACACTACAATAGACTACAGTAAGTGTATACATTTACTGAGTTAACACTTTTACTGTAACATGTATACAAAGTAAAACAAACATACCTCTAAAGGACTTATTAGTTTATCGATCTCTTACACACTCACGAAGTTTTGACGTTTAAATTCAGGATATACTATACACATTTTATACGGAGTATACAATATATTGCTCTAGAATCGTTAGAATTAAATAGAATATAATTTTTTCTTTAAATTGTTATTTATAGATAATATTATTTATTAATTATTAATAAAATAAAAATTAGATATTATTTTATAGTTGAAGCATCTAAAATTAAGTTATTAAAATTAAGTCAGAGAATGGATCGTGTATAGAATGTATACAAGAAATATTATTTTGATAGATAAAGATAGAAGCATAATTTACGACTTTTATTATCGTGTATCCTTTTGATTGCATTTTATGGCTCGATTATAGCATTATAATCGGTGATTCAAAGACCATAAACTTGTTTCTGCAGAACGCCCACGCTTATTTGGAAAACGTAACAATTAATTACTATTTACGATTTCATTAGCTTTCAATTTTAATCAACTTCAAAAAATGTATAAGTAAAAAATATTGGCGAGTGTGAATGTCTTAATAAAATAATCATTTGCAATGTTCACATGATTAATTTATAAACACTGGAATAAAAATCATTTAAATATAGAAAAGACAATTTATAGATTTTTTCAAGAGATTATTAAAGATGAGAAATTCTTCAGAAATGGGGAATTAAATATGATAGAATATGATAATTTATCGATATATATTATTTTTTAAGAATTCAGTTTTAATTAATTTTTAAAGATTGCTGTATTGCCACTTCACACAATGTTCTAATATATTTTTTTACTCAACTGAAGACACGTAATATGGATCTAAATAATAATTTCAAATCCACGTAATATTTTTCATCGAACAATACATGTATCTAAAACTTTTATTAATATTTGATATATAATTGAGCTTGATGAACTGATGAAACATGTAGTGTGGTTATCTACCACTATTCAAAATTTCATAATTCGGATAAATATGTACATTGTTATTTTGACCTTTTCGGTTTTTATCTTTCTTGTGTACACACGTTTACCATTTATTATGTATTTCTATATTATATTATGCTATTAATCATTGATTTGGAGTACGTGTGTCTAGCGGTTCCGGAATAAACGTCGTATAAAATAAAATAGTTCGTGTAATGACTAAACTTAAATAATATAGTTGGAAAATTTGCGAAAGGTCTGCTTAATTTTCACGAAAAGATTTTTTGCGTGTGAATATAGAAAATTATCTTGGAAAATTGTCACACCCGAGAGATTTATGATGTATGTACATCGTTGAGTGCACGGGTTAAAATTGCGTAGGCGACAACGATGGAGGTAAGCGTGATAACAGTTTAGGTGTGAGAATTCTAATGTCACCTGTTTACGCATGACACGTCGTTGCATGATTTTATTGCACTCATGTGCAAATCTTATGCAATCCCTGCAATTTTTATTCAGGCTTTTACTTCGCGATTTTTTCGTTTCACACAGTTCTTCGACGACTTTGATAGCACGCATGAATTTTATATGTATTATTTTGTATAGATAGTGAAAGAAAACAATTAGTATATATATATATATATATATATATATATATATATCTTTTTAAGCAGCGATTAAAAACTGTCATCAGATTATCATCTATCTATGCTGTGCACTTTAAATTATTGCTTCACTTTACTTTTATCTTTACCTCATTTATCTTTACTTTATCTTGATTCCTATTTTTATTAAGTGAGTGCTAGGAAAATATTTTTTATTGACTAAAGTGTAAAAATATCGTTTGTAAATATTTGAACTCACCCTGCGTACACAAGAAGTGCACGCAGAGTGAGATCAAATATTCATTTTTCAATAAGTAATAATTTATATGTTATGCATGGCATAAATATAGAAAATCGCAAATAAAAAATGAATTGCAAATCAGCACAGCGAATAAGCAAAAAAATTAAGATTGAAACTACTGAAGCATGTATCGTAATTTCAACAAATTTAGATTTTGATACAAAATTAATGCTTCCATATTTATTATACTCTGCATGTTTACTATTAATTTATTCAGTCCAATGCAAATGCGATATGAATATTTCGATTGTAATTAACAATGTAATAAATATTCGCCGAAAAAATCAAATTTTATTCCTCTATAAAAAGCCATAGTAATTCCTTTTTTTCATCATTGTAGGGGTTAAGCAGAGTACGAAGCGAAACTTGGATCAAATCGGTGGTGGACATCTCGTAAGGGATACGGACAAGCAATTTGAAGGTTTATTAAACGAAGAAGAGAGTCGTTTGATTGAATGTTTAAATTTCGCCAGTGACAAGCAAATACTTGACATATTCTGCCGAGAGGAACTTTTTGCCGATCGATTTCGTAATGGAAATCTCATTAATTCTTCGATCAATTTTGTAGCGTTTGAAGATACAATAAATCATCCATTAAACAGCCCTGATTTAAATGCCAATCAAGCAAATAATCAGTTATTTATGGATCAACTTAATGGCGTTGTTTTAAACAACGCAGAGAATGATAGACGAATTGTTAAAAATTTGGATCAGATCGGCAGGCATCTCGTAAGAAATCTAGATCAGATTGGTAACGGACACCTGATAAGAAATCTAGATCAAATCGGTGGCGGACATTTAGTTAGAAGCATCGATTATCCAAACGTAAGAACAAAACAGCGCATTGATCAGCCGATGAGCATCTTAGAGAAGCTGCACTTCACGCGAAATCTGGATCACATCGGAGGCGGAAATCTTGTGAGAAATTTAGATCAGATTGGAGGCAGAAATGTTGTGCGAAACTTGGATCCAATTGGCGGCGGAAATCTTGTGAGAAGCTTGAATTGATTTTGCAGCAATGCCTAATCATGGTGGAGAACAGTACAAGATGAAGAAAGAGAATGGTTTAGAAATGATAGTATTAAGAATAGAGAAAAGCTTTCATATTGATTTTGAATATTACACATGATTTCTTTTAAGTTATAATTACCTGATATGTTATATATATATTCTATGTATAAAAGAATCAGGATCGGAAAATTGTATTTAATAAACATGCAATTAGGATATGCAATTTTGATTTAATTAAAATTAAATCCAATGCATATAAAAAAACGACATAATTAAACTAATAAGAAAGAGTAATATGAAAAAAATGTGTAAGTAATTAATATATTGGATTATTAATATATTAAAACAAAAGTTCGTAGTGTTATTTTATTTGTATTACGTTTCGTAATTGTATATCGTTATAAAAATTTTGCGTGTATCGTTATATCGTGTATCGTTATATCGAAAAAAATTTGCAATTGTACTATTCAACAAGAGTAAAGTTTCAATCTTAAGAATTTGTTTTGTAAATTGCGATACGATGATTTTTAATGAAGTTACGAGCATTTGAATTTAAAATACTCTTTTCATTTAATTTGAACAAAAGCCAATAAAATCTTAGGAACAGTTTTAAAAACGAGTTTTGTAAGGAAAACTTTAAGCTTTCATTTAGAAGTCAAAAAGATAAATATACCGAACAAATCCCGCTTTGATGATCTTGATCTGGACATATTATCAAGCTCATGATCCTGAATAATCTTCAACAAGTTTCAGTTGGTCGTTATCCGTTAAAAAGTTATTAACAAAATAATTGAAAAAAATACTAATCCTGAGTAACTCAAACAAGTTACTCATTAAAAAGTTATAAACAAAAAAAAATTAAGAAATAATGCCTTATATTTCTACTATGTACAATATTAAGAATTATGTACCTCACATCCCTTTCGCTTCACGTTGGAAAGTATATGAAGACAGTACATTTTACAACGCCCTTGCTTTGTGTACACTTTACAATGCAAAGCGAGGGCTACCCTACACTAAAAAATATGGATTGGGTTAAGTTTTTTAGGAGGGGGGGGAGGATGCCGCTCTTTTCTGCTAGGGATGCAATACTTTCCGCACGAAGCAAGGTTCAAAAAGAATAATTAAATCATATTTTGATATGGGTAGATCTCACTTCGCGTGGAAAATCGTGCGTTCCTAGGCAGGAAAAGAAGATGAGATGGATCTCGCTTTCCGTGGAAAACTGGAAGTGCGTGGGCACGAGATGGGGTGGATCTCATTTCGCGTGGAAAGTCATTATGCACGGAGACTTTGGGAGTTCTTAACATTGTTTACATTTCACAAATTTCTTCCTGAATTTCACAAGACATTTGATTCTTAGAACATCTATCATGGAACAACTCGGAATGAATTCCGATCAGAATTATTCCGTTTTTCTTAGAAAATACAATAAAGAATAATTGAATAATTTCGATCAGAATTTATTTCGAATAATTTTATAATACTTTTTTTTGTTAAAACGTTACATTCCGTTCTGATGGTACAAACAAGAATTACTTTGACAATTATTGATATTAAAAATTGTATGCAATTATTAATTATCAAAATTGTATTATATTAAACTTCTTACTACACGCCATGCCAACATGAAAACCAATAGTGTCGCTATGTGCAGAAAAAAATCAGTGTACGAAATTTTGTCCACGCCACATTGCACATACATTGTATATAACTTTATTTTTTTATCACTTAATTTTATTCTAAAAAATTTTATTCTAAAAAATTTATCCTATATATCATGTTTTTTTTTATATGTATACATTTTATAATAAAATATAATACAGATATAATACAATATACAGATTAATATTACTAAAACAAGAAGAATCAATTTCTCTTAATTTATGTTTATCTCAAAATTCTTGTTAACCTACATCACACAAATAAAATATGAAAATGTATTCTGTTACTGTTACAATAAATTCCTCAATTCTGAAAATTCTCTCGCGGTACATTCAGCCTAACAAATTATCGTAACAATCATCGAATATTTAATCATCGAATATTTAACTTAAATGAAAGCGATAATTTAAACATTTATTATATTCTCGTCGTATTTAATTAAAGAAAGCTAATAAAATTTTTTATCTAACATATCTGTTGTTTTTAAGGATAATATCTGGCAATTATTCTATCTGGCTGGTTTTTTACAATCCGATCACCCGACTAAATAATTCGGCTATCTGGTCGGATTGTAAAAAAATCGTTTTCTACAATTTGGATAGAAAGAATTACATATACCTACTTAAAGTTTAAACTTTTAATACATTTTATTATATAATGTATATCTGATCAATTTATAACTAAATATTTTTTAAATAATATTTAAATATTAATTAAGATATATAATGTAATATAATTTAAAAATTAAATTGAAATAATTGTTATGCCTTTATTCACTATTTGTGTATTTATTCAATTTTTGTTAAATACTATTTTTTAAGTATTTTAAGTATTTTAAATATTTTTATATTTTTCAGAGAAGAAAGATGAGCATTTCTGCAATATCAGGCATAAATTTGTTTCTATCTTCTGTACAAAAATTAAATCTTTATAGTATATTTATAATGGTTTATATAAAAAAATTTTTTTTATTCTTTAAAATTTAAAAACAATTTAAAAAAAGATTGGATTTTCAATTTTTCAATCTTTCCAACAATTTTCGAATAAAATCCGATTATCCAACTTATCTGGTTTCGCCGGATAAAATCCGGTTATTCGGCCTTTCTATAATATATTGTCCAATCTTCCATTAGAATTAACAGAGACATTAGTGCAGCTTTCTGAAATTTTCAAGGTATGGGCAGCTACAATATAGACGGTATTGGCCATCCGTTGCGACTGGGACATCAGAAGGGATTTGATTCATTATCTGGAATCTTTGGTCAGAGCAAGAGGTTTATACCTTTCAGGTAAATTGTTATCGATACGTCATTTTTGATCTCCGATAATAAAATGAGCTTATAAAATTAAAAAATCTCGTATTCCATTAAATAAATTTTTTATCGAGATACTCTCCATTAAACATCGCAATATATAAGTGATTTAGAGACTACATTAAACAAATGTAAATTTGTTAATGTAAATATTTATTATTAGTTATGATAAAAATGAAGATTAGGGACCTGCAATCTTGACATGTATATATAAGCATCTTTGATTTTATATTAATCATAAATATTTTTTAATTATAATTTTAACGATTTTAATTTCAATGAAATTTTTCTAACATGTCACATATTGCAGTTTATTTATTGTGTTAAAGTAAATTAAAACAGTCCTCTTTTGCAAATTTTTAAACATTGTGAAATGATAGAAAATTTCGTAAAGGAAATCATAATGTTCAAAGAATTATGGAAAATAATTTTTCTTCGTACATTTTTGTTGTTGAATAATATTATTGCTATCTACATCTGCTTTTCAGAATTTGACCATGTAATCAACTGCTATTACTTAATAAAACTATTTTTAAATAATATTTTAGAAAAATAATAGATTTTGTAAAATAGAATGTTGATAAGAAGCTGCTGTTTCTTTTTGATTGATCAAGAGATGTAAATGCAACCTCCAATCGTTAGTGTGACATCAGTCTATCGTCCTTTTTTGCTTCAATATGCTTTTATAAATGTCGAATGTCAGATATCACGCAATGGATATTCAGTTACGTTTATCCGAGTTCATTGAAAAAAAGAAAGAAGAAAAGAATGTTTGTTGTTATTGAACTTCGCTTGTAGCTAGTCTAACTTATAATCATTCATACGTTCTACATGTATCTGACTAGTTTCATCGAAAACTCTTTCTTTCTAATAATTTTCGTCAGAAAAAAGGATTATATTATATTGTATATTTGTTACAGTAGTATCGTTTATTAGTATAACATATTCACAAGCACATTTATAGATAAAGAAATCAATTTTGTAAACATCTCGTGAAAACTAAAACGTAAAAGCTAATAATTTTAACTTAAAAAATAAATTAAAAAACAATGAATATAAAATTTCATTTAAATTACATCTTTTTTCCGTCGGTTTAAGTTCTGTACCTCTCTAAAATTTATTGCGTTTTTAAAATAAACGTCGTTTATTAGTTTATATAACATTCCGTTTTCAAATAAAATGTCCGAGATTAAAAAAGATACGCTTACATATTCGTTACATACAGTATATCCATTATTGCAGGCGACCCAGCGTGATGAATGTACGGCCTGGCAATTTCGACGAGATCGACCGATCGGTATTCGATCATTTCTCAAAGAGGAACATCGATGAGATCGATACTGCATTTGACAGTCTCTTTAAGCGGAACTTCGATGAGATCGATCGAGCTGGTTGGGGCGGATTTGTCAAAAGGCTCAATAATTATCTGACAGACAGGCAGCGACGTTAATTGATTGCAAAATAGAAGAGAGAGAATAGCGAGATGAAGAATAAGAAAGAGCGAAAAAGGGGGGCAAAAATGAGCTCATTGAAAAACATCGCAGAATGCGAACTGTATACACTTACTCTATTAAAAAAAAAAAAAAATCATTTAATCTATGCGAAACTTCAGAAGATATTTGACATTAATGAAATTAAAATCATCCCTTTATCATTGCTGTCCTCTAATGGATACAAATTTAAACTGAACTTATATATTACATTACGAACACACATACACATATACACACACACACACACACACACACACACACACACACACACATACAATTGTGAGATTATTTTTCAAACAAAATTGTAGTACATTTTTTTCAAAATAATTGAACATGATCTTTTTTTTCAATATGCACAAAATTATTAATTGTATACTTTCAATTCCAAATTATATAGAGGATGAACTAAGAAAGTGGAAAAAAATTGTTTTATTTGCAAGACATTGATAAAATTATAAAATCACATTTCATGTAAGTATTTAATTATTAGAAAATTATAAATGACGAATTAAACTCTGAAATAGATTTTCGCGTATTTCAATTATTAAGTTTCAATTAAATTTAAAGTAAATTTTTTTACAGAAATTATATTTAACTATAATATATCTTAAAGTTTTTTTAATAGTAAAAATTAAATACTTGCAACAAGTAAAGCAAAACCTATATAAAAAATTTTGTACAATAAGAATAGAATTTGTAGCTGAAACTGGATATTTGTTAGTTCATCCTCGTATGAATTAAACAAAATTGAGAAATTATTTTGATTTAATTAAATTTACGAAAAATTTTTTGCATAAGGAAAAATTGTCTGAAAAATAATTAGTTATTTATTTTTAAATATAATACTTAAATAAAATAATTAGATTTTATTTGAAAGAAGCTCTTACTCCCGCCTTCAACGATTTTTCGAAATATTCTGCATCATAAAAAATAGCTAATTCATATCTAAATATAAACGGCGTGTATATATTGTTGATGTGTAATTAGTTGTATATATTAATTCAGCTCATTGTTTGACTTTCAGAAATATATGGTGCAAAAATAAATACTCAATGCGATTAAATCTTAAGAACAGAAATAACAGGAGATGAATAACAGGAAACATTATAATGTATCACTTCTCTTTAATAGAACTTTCTATTGGGCAAATATATATACTTAAATATCTTTTATGTTCAAAGCGCGACATGGCGAAGATATTTCTTCCCTCTTTGTAATTTGTAGAAACGATTTAAAACTTTTGTCATTTTGACAAAATTTGACCGATCAATGATCGGATAAAATGTATTACGTGATTTATTCTCTCTACTGTATACTGTCATTCTGCAAAAATGTATAATTAAATAAAAAGAATGATAATAAATTGTTGGCTAATTGGAGAATAACATAAAAAGGTTGCAAATGACATATAACTATAAAAATGTAAAAAAAAATTTTTTTTAGTGATATTTGTTTTACAATAAAAGAAATAAAATTTTTTTTATTTTATAAATTGTATTTTGTAATATGGTATGATAATATAGTTTATTTTAATAAACATTTATTTTCTGAAGATTTGCAGCATTTGCAGTCTTTTTCATCATTTTATCATTTCTCCACACACACACACACACACACACACACACACACACACACACACACACCACACACACACACACACCCACACACACACACACACACACACACCTACTTTTATGAACACATTCGTATGTAAATTTTTTGAAAGAATTAATTTTTTTAGTTGAATATCTTTGTGGTAAACAAAAATACTTGGCAAACACAGAAATGTATTCATTTATCTTATTCCACAGTCACAATTTTTTCTGTACTTTCATAAACAATAACAATTATTAGAAAAAGAATAGGTCAAAAAAGATACAAAACATGTTTTTTTATCTGACATATTTATCTTAAGTTTCGTATTTCCAAGATGGTCGAAAACCAATGGCTTTTGTATCAACTGCTGGTCTTGGATCGTTCAATAGCTGAACTTCCGGATATGCAGGCGTACGTCTTTCTTGTCTCTCAAATGTTACATTTGAGATATCGGTATCATATGATTGCGATGTAAGGAACTTCGAACTCATAATGAAATTATGCGGCTGAGGATCCTTCGCTCCTGTAAAAGTATTTGTTGATGTCCGCAACTTCGTCGGTGTTCGAGGATGATCTGACTGTTGCTGCTGCTGCGATTGATTTTTTTTTGCCGCCGTAAGGATGCACTTGACTTCCTCGTTGATGTCAATTGGAGTTTCAATCCGCACACTCTTCATATTATGATTCATTCTTACTAGCTAATTATGGGTGATAAGATAATGCTTTTAATTGTATCTCAAATAAAGAGGAAATTTAAATATATGATTTTTGAATGTGAATAAAATATGGATCCGAATTTATTAATATCTTGCGCACATGCGCTTCTCAAAAGAGATAATTCTAGCATAAAAAAATTAATGCATTTAACAACATCATGTTTTATATATCAAAGTAGAGCTAAACTATAATGATTAATAAAAAAAATTTTTTTTTATTCTTTAAAAAAAATGTTTAAATCTCTGTTTTGTTTTGCATTATTTTATCGCGAGATATTATTCCAAATTTATTAAACCATATTAAAGCTTTTTCTTTTGAGATTAAATGTAAAAGCTTAGTCGTCATATTTTTGTCTTTCACATTACAATATACCTCAATCAATCCTTCTTCCAATTCGGAATAACGTTGCAGTAGCAGGCCTACTTTCGAATTAAGTTTCGTTAAATGATCGGTAATGAATAATTCTTTGGCAATATCTTCCTTCATCTATATAAGTAATTTTATTAATTTTATTAATAGTTATTAAAAATTAATGAACATTAAAATACATTGTATCATTATTTAACTGTTAAGATGATATCTTTAAAATACCTGATCCATTCCTTCAGATATCTTCGAACTAATGTAATTGAGACTTGCACGTGACTCACAAATCTATTGAGTAGCAATATATTATTTATTATTGATTTTTGTAACTGATTTTAATTCTCTTCCAATGAAAATTTTAATTAATTACATATATTTCGTAAATTAAAAAAAAATTTAATATATTATTTGCTTTTGTGTATATATATTACAATTGAATTAAATCTCTCAGCTTCGGCCATAATTTGATAATGCGCTCTCATCACTCGGAAAAACTGAAATGTTACACATTATATACTGCGCAATCGAATACTTGTTAAGTAAATATTAATTAAAGTCTAATATGAAATATGTATGTTATTTGCCTTCAATATTTAGATATAATGGCCAATATTTTTTAATCCCTTCAGATCTGATTTTGAAACTACGTTAAAAAATTTTTTTTTAATTCAATTCAAGAGCACTTTGGTAAGTAATTCATATTAAACAATTAATTTTTTTCTAAAATTTTGACTATTTTTATATATGCATTATTCAATTATTATGTATATCTAATCTCAAATGATAGAATTAAATAATTTTAACGGATCTTCAAATTTTATATTACAATGTACACAGAGTCTGAAGGTAACAAACAGATGAGTATAATATAAATTTATTATTATTGTCTGTAAATCAACACAGATCATTTCAACAATATTGCAGCAACATTACAACGTTTTAGCAATATTACAAACATTGCAGTAACGTTGCTGCAAACTTTTGTTCTGTATAGGATAATATTCTCATATATATGTTGGAATAAAATAATATTTAAAAATAGTTATAACCTACGCGTTGACACATATACAACACAATAGTCGTATTTATCATCGCAAAAATTATGCTAGTAAAAAAGCGATATATCAGATACATGATTATCTTCGTGAATGTCCTGATTAAGAAATTTCAAATAAATACATAACTTAAATATTATAATATTTTGTCAACATCAAAAGAAATGACGGATTAAAAATTTTTCTCTCCACGTATAATAATCTATCAAAAATTCTAGATTCAGCTGAAGTTTGATGAAGAACAGTCAAAAGCGAGAAAATCAAATAATCGACTGCGTTTAGCAGAAAAACCAGCTTTGCAACTATTGTAAAATTGTTTAATATGATTGATTTATACATTTAGATACACTAACTAAAGGCAAGATCAATGCTGAATTATTTGTAAATTCTCATTTCAAGTTAAACTAATAGAAAAATATTGAAAATTGCGATTAAAGATCAGATTTTGATGAAATTGTTATTTTTAATGCCATTTTCAATATGTTCCTATCAGATCAGTTTGAAATAAATTACATTTTGCAAATAATCAAATAAGAAAGTAAAACGGGCAATTGATGCTATAAGTATTGCACTTAAATAATAGACTTTAATGTATAAAATTAATTAACAGACTTTAATGTATAAAAAATTATATTTTCATGTTACGTATGTACGTTTTGGCTAAATTCTAACCATCTTCAGCGCAGAAAAAAAATTTGAATTATATTTTATCGCGTAATCCGGCACGTAGACTCCAGTGGTCAATTTCTAATAATACAAATAAGTATTTTCCCATAAGTTGGCACAGTGAATGATTTCAAAGGATTAAGATCTTGAATGGTCTAACACATTTTTGTTGTAACATGGGTTGCATTCAATAGAAAAAGCAGCTTTGCAAGTGTAATAAGGTTCTTATATTTTTATATATTGTATATATTTTTATATATTATATATATTTTTATATATTATATATATTTTTATATATTACATACATGTATGCAGTTTTTTTCACAAAAATATATTATTTTATAGAGTTGATTTCCTTTTATTTCGAATTTTCTTTCATCTCAAAAATAATTTCTCTACTTTTCTATCTATGCAGTTATATACGCACACTGTATAATTTCCTTTCTTTTTATGATTTTCTATATTACAATCATCTTTGTTACAAAGAAATGTACATAATGTAGTCTTCCTTATTATCTTCATCTGCTTTAATTTTATACTTCTCTTTAGCTCGTATTGTATGACTTGATCCAGACTCTTAAATTTTATATATATATTATAAGTTTTATATATATATTATATAATTTTAGGTCACATTCGTCAATGTTATTTTCTTTTATATGAGAGATTTGTAGAATTTCGAAACGATGTCTGTATCCTTCATTACTAATTTTTTATTAAACACTTATAAAACAGTATTAAAAATCTATTATATATAAATCAGCAGTGATAAAGAACTTGAAAAAAATAAAAAAGATAATCTTTATCGTGTAATATATACAAAAAAACCTGATCTATAAATCCTTATCTAAAATAAGAATATATCATTGTAATAAATCTTTCTATAAATTTGAAATATTGTAAATGATCAGGATTGACGTATAATATTGGATTTATTTGTAAATTGTAATTGATTTTATTAGCATACTCAAATAGGCAGTATATCAGATTTAAAACTTCGTGGCTTAATAAGGAAAACCATTATCAATAAAAATCAGAATTATTTAACTTCTCCATAGCGACTGAGAATGAGCACTAAATGTATAAGCTATTATAGTTTTTCATACAAAGTGGATATATGATTATACAAATTACACATTTTTTTATTAATAAAAGTTTCTTATTAATTATATATATCATACCTGGGTATACTTCCATAATTCAGTACCTTTTCGCCTTTAAATATTATATATAATCATTTTAGTGCAAAAATTTCCGTTCATTATTTGATGGTAAGAAATCTTCAAATAATGTCTGTTAACTAACACTAATCTTAATATGATTACATAGCATTAGTCAGCTATAAGAATCAGCTATAAGAAGTCAGGTATAAGAATCAGAATTGAAGTTTTCAATGAATTTGAAATAAAAACTTTTGTATGCCCTTGAAACGTGATATATCTTTCAAGTTATACAAGCAAAATAAGATTTATAGTTCTAATTTTTTTTTATTTTACTGTGGCCATATTCTAATATACACTACACAATTACATACACTATAGATTTTCAGTACTAGCAGTGTACACTAGAACACGGCATGAACTTATGCATATTAAATAAGCTTGAAGCAATTGACACTAACTTTTGGATGTTCTAAGTCCTGAAATCATTATTTAAATATTATGATCCACAAAATATCAAACCTCATCTTCTGTTAATCATATTTCCCAGTCATCTGGCACTAGTGGTTCATCCATTCCAGTCTCTTGATCTTGAGTTCAATCCTTTCATTGTGTAGCATACTTCTTATTTACATAAATTTTTCCTTCTGATTGTTTTCATTTTTCCCACAAGTTGCTGGTAATGCTATGAACCTATGATAAAAAATAATATAACACAATCAGTATAAATGTAATAAATGTAATCTCTAATGTGCATGCATCATTTCATCTTTGTTTAACATTTAATCACAAGGATAAAATAATGCTCGCAAGTTGCAAATGTTAAATAAAGCATCCTAAATTAAAAGCACCCAGTTAAGATAAACCTTTACGCATTAACTTACGACTCTACCAAAAACATAGTTATAAGTTTCAAAAATCCTTATATTCAACCGATATTCAGTCCCCTACATTGTATTATACGAGAGGATAAGAAGTCGAAGTAGTTAAGATTCTTATTGATTCTATTATTAAAGTTATGGAGCAAAGACGTCAGAGGCAGACACCTGAATTTACTGATTTTGTAAACTCACAATTTCTACTTATATTGCTGCTCTTTTGCCATTTCAGATCTATAAATTTTTCCAAATTTTTCAGAAGAAAAATCCTGAACACACAAATTTGTTACTAACCTCGTATTCACTTCTGCTTAAATCATCTTTGACCACGCTTGACGAAACTTATTTAACAGCATATATGTTAAAGACAATCTTAAACGACTGAATTTATAATTAATAAGAAAATCTTAAGTCTATAAATAATAAATAAGATAACTTTATAAATAATAAGATGTGTCAAATAAGACCATCCGCACTAAGCAATATCAAGCATGAAGTGCATAAACACCTTGAGACTTGAGACTCTCTTATATCTCCTCTCGAGATTTTTCTCAAGTATATGCTTGTTCACTATGAATCGAAGCGCCATCTTAAGATTACAGTTGCATTTAAGAGGATCAATCATCTAACTTCTTTCTTAGGGTGGATACGTGAAAAGTAGAATTTTTGTGTATGTGCGTGTGATATACATACATACATCATATATATTTAAAAATTTTCACTTTTGTCGTTTCGGCCCTAGAAAATAAGTTACATGATCAATACCCAGAGCATCGACGAGATACTATTAAAGATCGTCAACCTTGGGCAAATTTTCGGCGGTATTAAAAGGGCTCCAAGGGCCAGGAGGTAATTGAAGAACGCTAACATTATCGACAATTGATATAAATTTGCTACTGTTGACATAAATATTTGGTTCATATATTATTAAATTCATGATTTTTTATTACATAAATAAATATGCATACTTATAAAACTATAATATCCTAATAATAAACATATTGCAAAAAAATTACAATTTTTTCTTTGCAGTTATCATCTCTGTTGATAATCAAACTTTGACGATGACACTGAAATCACAATTTTAAAGAAAAATCGAGTATTATTAAGTTCTAAATACATAAATACATAAATACGTCTACTAAACTAATAAATCATAAAATAAATACAATATTATCAGTTTTTAACTCTTAATCACTTCAATATTCACAAAGAATTCCCATAAGGATGTCGGTCTTTAATACAATAGTATCTTGTTGGTGTCTAGAGCAAGCAACTTTGCAATTGTTATAAAATTCTTCAATATGATTGGTTCTTGATTTTAATTTCTTATGGATCTAAAATACATATAACCAATAGCTGCATTCAGCAGAAAAAATAGCTTTGCGTTGTAAAATTCTTAAATATGATTGATTTATACATATAGATCCAATGAGGAACTAAGAGCAAGACCAATCATATTAAAAAATTTTACAACAATTACAAAGCTGTTTTCTCTGCAGAACGCAGTCTATGTTTGAGATAATTTTAAAAATAAAGATCGCAGCACAGATTAAGCATATTCTACAATTGCGTAAGCGTAGTTGAAAGTGGTTGTAGTTATAAGAATTGACTAATCACTGTCGAATATTTTTTTCATATTTAACTGTGATTGGTAAATTCTTACAACTACACTTACATTTACAATTACGCTTACGCAATTGTAGTTGCTTTAAGCCGATTCTACATTAGTTGCAAGCTGATCGCAAGATTGTTGCGACAGCCAATATGAAGCGTTGATTTTAAAATGCAAGCTTCAGATTGGCTGTCGCAACAAATTTGCGATAAACTTGCATCTAATATAGAATGGACTTGAGAGAAAAAGCGAGTTTTTATTGAATATCACTCATCGCTCATCGCGTCCAATATACAGTGGCTACATCGGAGACATCCAAGCGACGTTTCCGAACGCAGTCAGTATGCCTACATCAAAATGCATAACATGAACACAACTGTTTATCTTTAATTAAGCAATTTAATTAAACGTTATATGACTGATACGTATATACATACTTATATATACAGATACGTTGAATTTATCCAACTAGACTTCTAGCATCAGCCGTGCATTCGAGAAGATGCTATTAATGTTTTTTGTGTCATTCTATCCTTGTGTTTTAGATGCATATACCATATAAATGAAATGACACAAATAGCTTTAATAATGTCTCTCTAGACACAGTCTTGTATATTGCTCATGATCAGTTCAAAATTAAATGTTACATGTTGCATTCTTTTCATGTATTTTTTTATTATCACTATTGTATCTTATTTTGTATATACGTATAGAAATATGTAAAAAAAACATTATATTACATTGTAGTAATATATTATTAATATATATTTTGGTATATATAGAATGTTCGAAGTTTTTGATATAGAGCCGTATCAGTACATGATATTTATCATTACAAATAATTCTAATGTAACATTCCTGATGCTCGTATAATATTATATCTACAGTTAAGTTACATGTTGTGATCATTTGCTGGGTTGTTTTTTTTTATAAACTTATGCAATTTGCAGTGTACAATTAAAAACTTTTTTAAAAAGCAGGTATAAGTATTTTTTTATGTGATTTATTTTATTTTGTACATACATATAAAAATACATTAATAGTATACTAAATGCATAATAGTGTATGACTATAAAAAAATGAATAATTTACATTTTATATTTTATGTAAAAATATATCAAATTATAAAGTATAAAATGTTTCGTAAAATTATTTTTATTTTGCAAATTATTGGTTTCTTTAATATTTATATGTACAACTTCTAGTCATACAATCTTTGTTTGACATATTTTTGATAAAAGCCGTTGTACTTTATTTTGAAAATATATACGAGTAACTTCAAACACTTTATAATGTAATACGTTGATGCTTTCATTGCATATGTATAATAATAATAATATTGATAATTTTTGATAAATTCATGAACCATAACTTCACAGACAATTTCTTGTTAGCCAAGTTTATGAGAAATCAGATATATTTATGAGCTGTACATTATAATATACATAGAATATTTGTTTTCCAATCATAAGTTCTTACGAATCTTATGTGAATAAGTTACTAGTTTTACGATTCTTTCTAAAATTGCAGCATAAATTATAGTTTCCGCACTATTCATTGTTAACTCATCAATAAATGACAGTCTCTGTTAATCGACATTCTCGATCTCTCACACGAAGGATAATGTAGAAATAAATCAGAGATTATTTCAAGCAACTTTGGGATATATTCTTTAACAACAATGATATCTTTATGCGAAAGAAAGCTTGAGAAAATTCATTCTCAATTCTCTGAAATCTATTGATGAATACTCCCTTATGCCTTACGAAATGGGAAAAGATTCTCTTCAAGCTGCGAGGAATTTAAAAAGCAATTTTTAAGAGATTTACTCTGCTAGCATCCGTCGCTTTCTTCCACTCGGATAATCGAAAATCTGTCGACGGAGTAATCTGTCATAGTTTGTCGAGTCAAGCATCGCCATCGTCGCGAAGTAATTTGTCTTTTAGTATAAGATACTGTGTCACAAGAACGGACAAGTTGAAAATTTTTATTTTGAAAGCATTCGATTTTCGATGAGTTAATTTGTCATTTCTTTATAGCGTGATATTTTAAGGCCCCTAAGTAGTCATCAGTCATATCGTAGTAAAAGTTATGTAACGTGTCATTTCGCGCTTCTGACGTCATAATTCACAATATACCTGGATGACTACTTCAGCCAAGAACATTAATGTCCATATTCATAGTCAGACCTTATATTATATTTAAGACTTCTCTAAATTTATCTTCAGATACTCAGCAGCCAATAAAATAATTCGTAGAGTGTATTTGAAGATAAAGTTAAGGAAGCCTTAAATATAAGGCTTCGAAGGCTCGACTATGAATACGGGCATTAGAGTTACTTTGGAATTACTGATTGTCTCTTAAGGCTGTCAGTTTAATTTGGAGAAAAAATAATGCAAAAGCTGCAGAAATGTGTCACTGCTCCGTTTACGGACACCTGCTATTTCATTTCTCCTGTTCGCGAAGATGAATAAATGCTAAAAAACAAAAGAAGAATAGTTGGAAAAGTTAAAAAGACGCAGTTTCTCCTCTAGTTTCGTTGTAAATAATTGCACTCTTTTTCTTCGTCTAGAAACCAATATTCTTTACTCTTGTAATATTTTCCTCGTTTACCACTGTCGTAACAATTTCCCGTTACAAATAAAAGATGTTCAACGTTTAGATAAAAAAAATTTATGATATGACAGAAAAAAATGCATTCTTATATACATATATTAAAGAAGGTATTGTAAATTTACAATCTTACTTAGACATTGCGCGCTTCCCAATATTAAAAGTATATCTGTCACATTACAAAGGGGGATTTTTTTTATGGATCGCGAATATATCTAAAAATATTGTTCAAACAGGCAAGTCTTTCGAAATCGAACTCTTGTAATTTTCTTCACATTCTCCCAATCGCTTTTGAAAAATCCGAAAAGATCCGCTTTCGGATCTTTTTACGTAAAGATTGCATAACGCGTAAAGCGTGCATAAAAGCAAATTTTCTACTAGGGCGTTACCATGAGTCAATCCTTTCTGGACAGGACAACACAGTTTGACGGCACGGCGCAGCGCTTGCGCCGCGCGAGGTGGATCCACAACTCAGTGGTAAAAGTCCCTCTCCCTATATTTAGTAACACGGCGAACGTTCAGTTGATCTGATAGTGTTGTGTCCTGTCTCGTTGTGAATCGCGAGTGCTCGTGTTTATTTTTCTTCTCTCGTAAAATCTTTCCTTTCTCTCCGCTCATCCTCGTGCTGCCTCTCTTCCTTTACTCATCACCCTGGTTACTCACCGCCTATATCAACACAGCAACTTGCCCTTTCCATTTTTAATGTAAAGTCCCACCACCCTGTGTAACAAGCGAAGGAAGGATGCAACTGCGTCAGACGAGAAGTGAAAACTTCGTTGTACGAAAAGAAGTGACAAGCCTTCGAAAGCCTAAAAAGAGTGTGACTTCGATCACTCCGCACCCTTCAAGGCCATCCTCTAAAACGTCGAAATTGATACAATCGATTAGATAAGAGCAGACGCGAGTAACGCGGCTAACGAAATAGAAGAATTCCAGCCGTGGAGCGTTGTTGCAAAATTGTTCGGAGCGGTCAACTTTTTGAACGAAGACTGCTATTCTTGCTACTATTACTCGATATCCTCGCTACTATTCACGACGACAGTCCCATAGGCTGGTACGAAGATCGTTGATCGATTTTAATAATGACAGCGGGAATTCTGGATTTCTCTACTTATTGGAGTATTATACACATAATGGGCTAATAGGTACGTGGATAATTTATTTTTAATTCCTTTTTTCTGATTACCTATTCGCGTCTGTGGGAAAATATGTTGATGAGAGCAACAGTTTCAGGTAGTGAACAGCTAGGAGTTAAAATTAATGTTTTAGTATGATATGTATATACAATTTTATTATGTCTCCGTAAAATTCGTGTTAATTTCGATAATCTCAATCTTTTGAATTGTACAGTCAAAGGACGACGTATATCAAAGATAGACGTTCTCAACTGTCAGTGCAATTATTATCTTTTTAAATAAATTCCTTGCTTGTTTGAAATTTATAAGAA